CAAATAGTGATTAAAACAATTGCTCGATTGATTGAATTGCAGATGCTCCATCAGCTGATTAATCTAAAATATTCAGCCGATTTGCAATACGATCCAGCCAATAAATACAAGTTAATAACGGATAGAAGTGGTGGAAAAATCTGATTTATATTGGGCAACTACAGGATTATTAGTATTGACCATTGTGCAATTAAGTGTTGGGAGGCAACAAAAAAGGTAACTACCACTTTCAAAAAAAAAATTAAATTTTAACATTTATTCTAGTTAAGCGCTTAGTACAATGTATTTGAGATCAGATTGCATTAAAAATTAGCGATTTTTCCAAAGGCACTGCAGAAGAGTTAACAAAGTAATTCTTTGTCAATTGATTGACTGAAACATTGAATTATATTTCAATCAGAATCACAAGCCTACCATAAACAAGAAACCTACACGATTAAGTTCACTCTTTTGATGAACTAAGAATAAGTTCTAATTTTATCCGTAAGATATTTAACAGATAAATGGCACCAGCTATTACCACAAACATATTTATAAACGAGAATATATCGGAGATACTAGGACAAAGATTGTGTGGCTGCGAGCTTTCTTAAAGTCCCTTTTAGCTGCATTGAGTTGGTATGACTTTGTTTTCGCCCAGTTGAGAATTTATGATAATTGGAACAAGCTCTTGTTTTATTAATATTTACATCGTTACTAAAGTAGTATAATGTGAAAGAATAAATTACCTGTAACCGCTGGTTCATTGACATTGCAAGCGGCATAAGTACTAGATGTAATTAAAGAAGAGAAGAAACTGCATTCTCCTGGAGTAAGACGGTCAATCGGCATCCCAGAAACAGGACATATTGACTCCGAGTTTCCAAAAATGCCCAGGGAACAGCCTCCTACCTGAGTGAATCCCAGTCCAAATGAACCACCGGAGCCCAAGCTAACCAGACATTCGCCGATGGGCAGAGGGAGAAAGTATTGTGAAGTTGATAGGTAGAAAAATACACGGCTCAATAGTGGCCATTCTCGAACTAGGCTAATCATATTCGGTTGTGGTTCAGGTAATGATTCGGCAGTATGCGGCATAAATTCTGATACTGTGTCCATATAATCAGAGACCTCGATGCCATTCGGAGGCGCTTCCTGTTCAGATGCTTGGCAAATTACATCTTGCGATCCAGAACGAGGGACAGGAGTTGGAAGAGAGCTAGCCGATGAGTCCAGTCGTGGTCCACTAGCTAGTTCGCCGAAGAGGCATGCGTAGAGGGTGTCCACTTGGCAAAGATAGCAAGCTAATGTGTTGTATGCGGTAATTGCGCTAATTGCAGAACTGGGCAGTGGATGAGGTTTGCCTAACAGCATTAGTAATAAAATATAATTGAAGTGAAAACGATATTTAAAGAAAATAGATATATCCGTAATAAAAAAACGCGATATAGTCTTATCTGAAAGAAAATATTAGTCATTTTGATTTTTAAAAACTAGTGTTTTTGGAAGGTGAATCCTTTGATAATGAGGTTGTGGCCGACTATTACCGAGATATCTAGAATAAAATGTTTTTTTAGAAATGTAAACCAAGATGCCGTGACCTCTTGTATAATCGCCGTCTCCTTTAGCTGCACAGTGTTGGTTTGACATCATTTTGGTAAATTGGTCAGAACGATGGGAAAACCTTGTGCAATGTGCCTGGTCCTGCATCTTCTGCAATAATATTCATGATTTCCAGCATTTGACTTAGTACATTGCCACACCTTTTGTGGGCACCGTTAGTAAGAGGCGTCATCCTAAGCCCAGAGTTATAATTTATCAAAGTGACAGGTAAACGCAATCCCTCTGACAAATTCTGTCCAACCGTTGTGGCATCCCTCCTCGCCCCTATTTTATTGTCCCAGCTTCACTTACTTGCTTTCTCAAGGCTACGTGAAATTCAATGGAAAGCTCAACTCAGCTCATAAAACTTTTGGGAAAATTCGACTACCAGTGCTTCCTCGCCTTAACGAAATAAAGTGAATAAAACTAATATATATGATTTATTGGTAGTCTCGAAAGCTTACTCGTTAATGAAATCTGGCTGCCTAGGTGCCTTCAATTCTGGTCCCCGTTTAAGCCATATGCGAGGATTTAAGACCAATGATTATCATGCCTAAGAATCTTCTTCCTAGCCTTCAGACCCATCATATATTTATCCTTTCTCATCCCCATCCATTCCTTCTCATTCTCTGGGGCTGTGTCTGGCTTGATTCGGAATCGCTGGCGTGATAATGGATTTGTTAAAAGTATGAATTTATATATAAAGGGATTTTTTATTTTAATATGGCACAATTATGAAAATTTAAATGCAATGTTGGAACAGAATTTAGATATTTACCTTAGCATTTACTGATTAGTTAGCAGCATATCTAATAATGATTATCGGAGCATAAGGAGATCTAGGAGTAAAAGATAAAAAACTAGGATCGGGATACAGAGCTGGAAATGGTCTATGATCCTGTCTACGGATGTTCTAGTGCTTAAAATAAATTTCTAGAAAACTAATGCGATACAGGTTAAAGTGGACAAGCACGTAAACAATTCCATATATGATTGTTTTACCCATCTTTTTAAGCAGCTCAGCATGACAGTTTTGCAGAGTTATCTCAGATGGCAGTTTGATCATCGTCCTGCCAAGATCTGCAGAAACTTTGTTCTCTTCTGGAGAGGTTATTGGTGTGACTGCCAAACCAAAGAGAAGGCCAGTGATCGGGATTGGATAGAAGCGAAGCGCCGCAGCCAGTTCGCTAGGACGGGAGCTTAACTGATCAACGTAAGCACGTAGAACACAAGCGATCAGGGCGTCGCTACCCAACAGACAAATACGCAGTCCCGTCGGGTGGCTAGCCGTGAGTCGGCGTCGCGGCTGCTGTTGCAGACGTAGCACTAGTCGGCCTAATGTATGCCGAGCATCGGCATAAGATGCTAGACAGACAACGCATAGGCGATTCAGAACCCCAGTGGAGGAACAGGGTGCAGGGAAATCAGTGGACGTAAAACGGGGCATAGGAGGGGTGGATGAGGATTTTGTTGAGTAAGCCAGTAGCATGTCAAGAGCTGGCTGAAAAGGAAATAAAAGAGAATTGGATGATTATGGCAGTGATTCCGAAACAGTGCGCCGCGGCCTCTTTACAGAGACGCCGCGAATTATTGTAAAAGCTTCATTATTAATTTAACCCAGACATTTGGCCTAACTTAACAAAAACGTGAGAGAAAACGCTGCGTCTTCTCGATCGCGCCATATGATCGCACTAGAAACCTTAAGGTGTGTAGAAACTTCACGACAAATTTGGAATGTTCTGGAAGATATTGCGGAAAGTATATAAGCAAGTGTTGCCGGCTCGATTCAGTCAGTCGACTTATAATTTGAGTCTAGTGAAGTTAA